GTTCACCAAGCAAACAGGAACAGCTTCATCAAGAATAGTGCATAAAATGTCATTGCGATTGACACATACGTTGATAGACCTGACTCGACTGAAACGTCGACGTGACAATTCGTTGCGAGGGAAGGGGATGAAAGCACTAATTCTCGCATGTTGATTGGTTCCTTTCGCTTGAGAGATAATGTGATGGTCTGCTCGCATCTCTTTAACATGCACATTGGACATTTGAGGATCTGTAAACACATCAGGTTGTTTATATTGCAAGATCCTATCAACTCCTTGATGGTCTTTGATGGCGCAGGGTATTAGCGGCTGAATGCTGGAGTTAGCTAAGAAGGCAACAATTTGTTGCTGTCCTTTGCCTTGCATATGCACAATGGCAGTGCGAATGTTGGATGCATCATATTCCTGAGCCAGAAAATGCGTTAATTCTGGGATCGCATCACCCTTATTGTCAAGAAGCGTGCCGTCATCTTCTATCTGATAAGCTTCATATTGTGTACTTCCCACAATCTGTAATTCAACTTGCCAGGAGTCTGGTTGCACATTGGAGTCAACCTTACATTGGAGACATCCCTCTTCTTTGCCAAAGGGCAAGACAATATCCTCGTAGAAAAGGGCTTGCCGAAATGTTTCTAGTAGTGTACCTGAAGCATACAGGGTCAAGATGGACCTTTTCTGAAAATGATACGGAATATCCATTGAAATAAGGATTTCTTGGATCCTATTTTGTACCTTTGTGTCAGGTTGTTTTGTATATTTGCGAAAGTCAAGGAGAACAAAGGTTTGGTGTGCAAAGAAACTTGGTAATCCATTTTTGCCACTGATCCAGATGAGCGGTACGATTCTTTGCAGTTCCTGCTTTTCTAAGTGACCGGCTTCAGTTCTGAGATTCTGGTAGACTTGTTCTAATGGACCAGCAAGCTCTTTAATTTTAGAGACAGAAATGCAAAAAGTGATGCAACATTGATCTGTGACTCCAAGCGTCGTTTGGACTGGAATTCCTGTCTGGTGGACACGAAACCTGACTACACCTGACATGGACTTTATGCGTTTCTGCACAGTAGAGGTGAGGATTGCACTATTGCACAACCACGTTTCAGCATATTCTAAATTTGGCGAGATGACTTCAAAACTTGTAGTAAAAGAGGAGTGCAACAGCATGAAGTAAATGCTTTTGGTGACTTTCTTCGTTTGGCCAAATGGTGCATAGGCAAAATCTTGATACCTAGATATGCAATGGACTCGTCCAAGATGCCTTCGAAGTGCCGTGCAAACTGCAGTGATGAGGTCAAGACAAACAGCATTAACAAAACATTCATGAAAAAGGCATACAAAGGAGAGCTTTTGGGCATCCCGGTAAAGCTGGATAATTTTTTCCTGTATGTGAGTCTGGACCTGAAAATAAAACTACTGAGATGTACTGAGTACCTGCTAATGCAGTGTGAATGGGCTCAAGATCATCCTCACTGATGACAAAAAGGTACCAAGGTGGCTCCTAAGCAGTCCCTGGTTGCAGAAAGACGAGACAAGGTCCTCATAGACAGCTTGCGAAACTAAGCAGCAGGCCTCTTCATCAAGCATAGCTGGCCGACAAAGCAAAGCCCAAATGCAGTAGCACGGGCCACTGTTTTGGAAAGAAGAAACAAAATCCCAAGACGATGTCACCGGATATCGTGTGGGAATAGGCAAAAAAGGCGCCAAAGTGCAAGAAGCCAACTATCCTCCAAAGGGGTCCAAGCAAGCTAACGAGGAAGTCTCTTCTCTTTAAGAGAATTCCTTGAACTGATCTCCAGGAATCTGTTTTTTTTTCCACGAGTACGGACGCCGTGTGGGCATGGTGCCCAGGTCATCGTTGAAGGGAGGGAAAAACAGTCTGATGGTGGAGAAAAGAACAAGGACCACAAACACAACCAAAAAAACACAATAGAAGGCCCACAGGCCAAGTCTCCACCATCATGTAGTCTTTTCCTCTGTGCCAGGTGAAACAGGTGAGACGAAAAAGAGTGTCCAGAAATGGGCCTGAATTCACGAACGAAAAGCATATCGGGGCAGGTCTGTGCTCAAGCAAGGTCGCAAAAAGGCTTCAAAGGGACCTTACTTCACAACTATGAGTGACCAACAGCCACACCCCAGTGCGGCAAAATCATGGTCACGATGCAGGTCAACACCCCAGTGCGGAGTATCGCAATGCTTCAACGTCGACTGCATCCTTGGCAAGTGGGGTGGCACAGCTATGCGGCATGCCGTGGAAAAGACCTTTCTTGTGGTACAACCCGTTCAACCAGTTGCACTTACAAGTCCAGTGGCATGCGACCAATCGGTGATCAATAAGTGGCAACCATAATCGACGAAAGCCTGCAGGTAATGGTGCGAAAAGGCCCCTCCGCGAAGGAGGTCAGCTCAGCACGCTTTGGCACTCAAAGGTGCCAAATAGCAAACAGAGTGGGGTGTCTTCTTGGTCTATGGAGCGCTGCATCATTGCAAAAGGTGATCGGCTGCATGCAAGACCCGTGTGAAACAGGTGAAACAGGTGAAACTTTGGACAATCCCAGCATGTATCTGCACTTCTTTGTACAAAAAAATTGGAAATGTCGGACATCAATGGGCATCCGCCATTGCCACTCTCTACCACCCGCCTGTTGGAAACGAAGAGCTAAGACTCTCACTCCTAGTGGCTCACAGCATTCCGAATGGCGAAAAGAGGTTGTATAGTGCTTGCGCATCTTGCTTGCCTTCGAGGCTGATGCCAGTTGGCTCCCACCTCAGGTGGCCTTCGCCGCCAATGGATGGAACAGAAGTGTATCGTGCTGGATGGTTTTGTGCGCAGCTTGGGAGCTTGGTTCAACGTTGGTGAAGGCTCGCAGGTTTTTTCTCTTTTGGCTCATTTTGGGAAACACAAGTGCGTTATTTCAATGTGCGTTGCCACAAGATCATCCTTTTGTAAAAGGTCATCCCAGAGGAAGTGAAGCGGCTGAAGCCTCAACTTTCACACCTGGAACAAGCAAAACAGTTCCAGAGTTAAGTGTTAAAGCTTTCGCTGGTCTAATTTGTTTGTCAAGCCCCTCATGTTAGCATGTGCAGCCGAGCTTTTAGAACTTCAACTGAGTTCCTTCGGCACAGTCCATGCGACGAAAGTTACCGGAGATCTACCTGACATTCTCAGCATCAACCGAGGCTCATCGTGTTGAAGTCACAGCAGTCACATCAGTTCTGTTAACAAAGAACTTGCACGCAGCCACACGCTGCAGGCGTGACTTTGGTTTCGACGGCAATTCGCCGTCGTCCCAACTGCTTCAACTTTTTACACCAATGTGAGATGATGTTGGCCTCGGGCCATAGCGGCGACGCTGCTCTCCAAAGTTTGACCGTGACATACTCAGCAAAGCTTCTCGACATTTTCTCAATAAGGTGCCAACATTTCCTCCTTGCGCTCAGGCCCTTGAGAACGCTTCTACATTTGCTGCCGCTTACCAAGTCGGCAAGCTGGAAGCCGGCGCGTGCACAAACCTGCTGAAACATGTCAGCTCAACTGTCCGAGAGCAGTTGAAGGAAATGGTGAGGCGAAGCAAGCTGGTTTATTTTTGATATCTTGTTGAGTTGCCTCATGACTTATGACTTGAGCTGTTCATTCAAACATTGCAATCAGCATTCACAGCAAACACCGGCAGGGTCTTTGGGCAGCCGCGATTCATCCTACACGATGGGATCGCCAACGGTGTTTTCAATGAAGACTACATCTCTGTAGGAAGTGGTGATCCCTGGTGTAGCTATCTTCAGAACAGCCCCGAACTATTGGACCTACTCTTGGGTCGTATGAAGCGGGACTTTGAAAGCACTGGAGTGAAGATGCGCAAACCCTATGGCATGAAGGAACTGGATACTTGCCCCCGCAAACGACCTGTCAATTGCTGGTTGATTATGCTGGTTGATTTCAATCAAGCGTGTTGGACCCCGTGATTCGCGCAGTGCCTGCTGAGGAGATCCTTCAGCGCATCTGCGCGGCCTTCAGAGCTTGCAGCCGCGCGTTCAAGGACATGGTTCCGGCATGGTTCTACAACAAAGTGGAACCGGAGATCATGCAAACGTGTCTTCGTCTTTGCCACCAAAAACACACTAAACACATCAGTCCTTAGTCAACATCAATGGTCGTCGTTTGAGGTTCATGCATCGTCATGCGGATGATCAATTGCTATCAACCACGGCGCCCCCAGCAGACTTACAGAAGGTGTCAACCTTCGCATCGCATCTTGGGAAAATTCACCAGGAGGCCAGTCTGTTTAGTGGCAGAACACCACGCGTCGTCAACCTCAATACCATTCCCCGACCCTCGCTTCCCTCCACGCAGCGGACCAAAAGCTGGAGAAGGCAGCTGTGCCTCCCGGCAAACCGCAGTGGTTCTGAGTTCTCAAATCGTTTAAAGCACATCATTTGTAATTTGACAATTTAGGCAAGCGTGTGCAAATCATTTCGCGAGGCTGAACGCTCAACTGTTGCAAACCACATGGTGTCAGCAAGAGCTCCAAATGGAAGAAGACCTTGGCAAGTTGGAGCAATGGGCTGCAAAATTCCATCTTTTTGCAAGCCAGCAGGCCTGCTTGTTTGTTGCTTGTTTGCTGGGGCATGGGGTGGCTCATGCTGACAGGGTGGACTGGATCTCCAATACCTTTCTGCGCGCTATGACCGCGGCAAGCTGGCAGTGCGGAATTTCATGGATACACACCACAAACATGTGGTCCACAGGAACATCACCCTCGCACACGCAGATGTGGTCGAGCGTCAGGCAGCACTTGGCCCTTCCACGTTTCTCAGCTTTTAAAAATGAATTTATCACACCAGGATGTTGTCCAGGATGTTCTACTTTGCTGTTTCTCCAGGGTGTTTTCAGTAGCTACCAATCCAGGTTGACTCTGATTGTGCTGGACAATACCCTATGGCCCACCAGTCCCTCGGTCCTTTAAGTTCAACCGTGTGATGTATGATGAATGGGGCGCTTTTCGAATGTCCAGTCATGTGACATGATGCATGCAATCTCAGGGGCGCTCTCCATCGACGAGAGCATAGCGCTCGCTCAAGGGGTATGTTGTGGGAACGCCAGCTCGGCTATTTTCTCATTGTTGCCTCAACCCCATTCATCGTGCAACTTTAGCACAGTGCTGAAACATCGACGTCTCATAGAAGACAAGGTGGTTTCGAATCTTAGCTCAATTTCCAATAGGTGTACAGTTGCAACAAGGAACAGTTTCGAATCTAAGATGGGTTCAGTTGTTCTGATATGAGCGGGAACCAATCGCTGACCAGCCTCGAACTGAGGTCGTTCGGCCAAGAGGTCAATGAAGTTGCCCTGGCGTTCAATGCCAGCTCGCACCAAGGAGACCGGAGAAAAACCTCCCAAATGTGTATCTTGGCCTGTATCAGTGTGCTAGCCATCAACGCACACACACATTCAGCTTTCGCCATGTTTTTATCTATGTTCATACTTTTAGTCTATGTTTTATCTATGTTCGTTGAGGCCTCTTTGCAACCCTGAGTGGAAGCCGCATCAGTGAGTTCAAGAAGTCCAAGGCAGCGTTGGGGGCAATAACGGCTGTGGACCGCACTAGAGTAGCAGATCTGCAGAACCCTGACCTGGATCGGCCTTTGGCTGCACACTTTCGCGTGTCTCGCCAGCGTTCTTCATTCAAAACCTGTGTGAAGATGTTTGAAGCCTCTTCACTGTCTTTAAATGCTAACTGTTTTGAATTGGGTTTCATTGAGGTGCAACAGCGAGGCATCACCGCGACCGGCGATATTTTGAAGAAGCTTGTGGAGGGGATACCAATGAACGACAAACATCCAGTTTTGGTGATCGATGCGATGCCAAACAGGCTTCTGGACACTGAAAGTTGAAACCCTTTAACAAACGTTGACTCCCCAACCTGCAGTCCACAACCTGCAATGTCCTCGCGTCGCCCAGCCTCTGATGCAGGTTTGGTGAATGGTCTGCTGCTTGCCTCGAAAACCAGTTGGAAGAGCTCAACAACTCCGGCTACACAGGTCCGTCGGTGCACTACTTGGGAATTTTTTTGGAGGACGATGCCACCATGGCTCGGAAGCAGGAGGCTTCTGTCACTGGAAGGTTGATGAGCTGTTGGTGGGACACATCTTCTGATGCGGGCAGCCAGCGTCGTCCTCGAAGCTCTTTTTCTGAGCCCCTTCCCATTCTGGAAGTGCTCAGCATTGGAGATGACTCAAAAGTGAAGAATCTTAGATCATGTTCGCAACTTTTGTTGGGTCGCTCCTATTTCTTCAACCTCAGTCCTTTATCATTCTCCCTTTTATGCGTTTCTCAAAGTAACAACAGTCATTTGAGTTCAGGATCCCGGACCTCATCAAGAACAAGTACTCGAGCAGCCACCCTGCCGGCTTGAAAAAGATTGAGGACTTGCTGTCCGAAGCGAAGGATGTGACGTCGGCTTTGGAACGACATGCCTCTGAGAACCAAAATCCCAGTTCCAGCACTGCACCTTCTGGAGATGCTGCCTCAAGAGCCCCGCCAGCGAGAACGCTAGCAAGCCCAGATTTCGATGGTTCACCCGTGCCGAACTTTGAGCGTCGAGTGGATTTCGAGGTGAAGCCTTTGGCAGATTTCAACAGCGCCCATGTGTTGCCTAGTTGAACAGATCCATGATACACCCAGGGATACACCCCCACCATTCTCCTAGATAAGGCGTTGCAGGTTTCTGAGGCAACTGTGTTGAAAGGTTTCTTCACATAAACAACTTGGTGAGAGAGGTGCTCCCAAAGCTTCAGGTTGCAGTGCTGCGCGACACTGCCCAACTCGAATCTGAAGATTGCCCAAGCGAAGAGCGATGGAGCACTTTGGATCATCAATGAGAAAACGGACAATCAGCAGTTGGGTGCGCAGGAACTGTTCGGCTTCAATGTGGGAAGCTTTGCAGAAGTCCCATCAGGAGAGCGGGTTAGCCCTGGGGAGTTTCTCAAGATACTATAAAAATAAGGGTTCTCCGTGTTCTGTAAAAGTCCGCCCAGCATTTGTTGAACTTCAAGCACAGCTTTTTGAGGCTCTCGAAAAGAATTTAGCATGGTTTGCGCTGGATGGAAGCAGTGACGAGTCACACGAAAGAGAATAGCAGCAGCCGTGCCATCTTGGAGACGGTCCAAGGTGTCTGGCATGCCCAATGGTCGGAAGAAGTCAGCAGTGGGACCTTGTTTTGCCTTTGGGATCCACACACCAACTTGGGTTGGGGCAGGCAGAGTGCAGGACATCATGCGGTCAAAGTCATCTTGTAAGATGGCAGCAGTGTGGTAAGGGAGCATACGCCACAGGGCATATGGGAGTCCATCAGGGCCAGGGGCAGAATCCTTGGTAAGTAGAAGATGCGCAATATAGTCATCAGCTGATGGCTCAGGTACAAGGGGCCATGGTTGTGCTTGCTGCCTGTATATATCCAGCGTACGGGACCATGATGGATCGTACAGCACGGGCGGTCGAAACCAAAATGATCGGGTCGCAAGCATGGCATCATCATATTCTTGTGCAGTTTTGCATTCCGTCCCGTTACTTCGTAAGAGTGGACCATGGTAGAACGTACCTCTTGGACAGACAGTTTTGAGGCGATCCCAGAAGAGGCGCTGCCGCCTAGC